TGACTTTTTTTCTTGTTTTAAAATGAGAAGTTCAGTACTTGAAAACATCCATGGTGTTTATTTCACTTTTCCCATTTTCTGTATAGATCCAAAAATGGCCAAATGGGTGCTACAGACTTGTTGGAACAGAATTGTTGGTTTCTGTTACTGATTTTGTATTTTGGTGCTTTGAACAAGTGTTCTCCCCCAAGGTTTTTCGTCCCGTCTAATATTAAAAGGGAGAATTCTTGTGAATGATGTTTAAGCCCAGCAAGACAGAAAGCTTTAGGATTAAAATGTGTAATTCCAAGTTGTAGATGGCTAGCATACAAGAACACAAAGTTGAGTCTGTCTGTTTACTGGCTTACTCATCTTTTTGAATGATAATTTAGACTTCCAACTGTTTTGAGTTGAGATTCAGCCCTTTAATTGCATATGTTTATGTATAGTAGCAAACTTGAAGACATTATGTTAGAGTGTTCTCTACTCTTGGTAATGACCCAACTATCACTGCAGTGTTTGGAGCCAGCTCTCAGTAGCCAGTTTCACTCGTTCTTCTTTGTTTTTGTAGTTTCCAAACTATTCTGTCTGTCTAAAATTACTATGGTTTTCCCAGTAATTAGTAGAAAAATATTTTGGTAATTAGCAATAACTGTGTATTACAGCACTTATTCATCTTAGTAGATTCTCTTTTTTTTCTAGCTGTAGGTGAAAGACATTCACAAACAAGTTTTTTTCCTGTTGCAGTCGTGACAAGGATACTGTTTATCCCTTGCATTTATATACAGCAGCGCATGAAGCGTGTGAGTGTACTAAATATCAGCAGATTTCAGTTACTTTTCCTTACTTATGAAGAATGGGTAGCAAACCCCTGTTAGAAATACATTGGTCCTCTGCTTTTTTCTGACACTCTTATTGCTTCAGAAGGAAAGGGTATCAACATAATCACTTTTAACCTTCCACATGGAAATTACATCCTCTGCCACTTTTAACAGAATATTAAAAGACTTAATTAAGATTTGCTTGTTTTTATTTTTCAGTAGCATCCTTTAGTGATAGTGAAACAGCATTTTTTTCATTTTTGTGTTTTCCATTGCATTTTCAATTGCAAAAGTATTTTTACTTACCTTTAATTGATTTAGTTTATTGTCTCTGATAAAAACTCAGAGGGTAAATACTCTTTGGTAGTTACAGAGCTTAGTATATGCATCCATATGTTTTGTTCTTGTTAAAAATGCACATCACCACTTTGAGGACTGTCTGAAAAAAAATATTATAGATAGTACAAATAATCCATCTATATATTAGATACGGATTTGCATAATGTACATACTAATACATGTAGTATGTTTATTATACTATATGAATAAACAAAGGCCATATTATAGATAGCATTTGGACACAGGCACGCATAACTGTTAGTTCCAATTTTTGTGTGCTTGAGTTGGCAAACAAATTAATGCCATTTTAATGTATGCAATTTTTAATGTATTTGCAATCAGAAAATTAGTGGTGAAATTAAAGATCTGCAGTTCCATAAGGGATGTGCTTTTTAATTGGTACAGACTTTTCTGCAAGTTTTACTCGGTACATTTTTGCCTTCAGACTGTCCTAATACAGTCACTTCACTTTTCTGTCCCTGGCAGCTTCTTTTACCTCCCTTCTCATGAACTAACTACTCTAGTTTAGCTGTACTCTAGCTATCCCCCAAGTTTTTCTTTTGCATACAGGCTCCAGTCTTTTTTCTCTCCCCTTTCCACTCTTTTCCCTTTATTCCCTCGTCCTTTGTTCCCAACATCTCTTCTGTAAATAACTTGCTGTATGCCATCTTTCCATATTGGATTTTGCCTCAGTGAGGTAGTTTCTTTTTCGTATTGTCTGAGAAGCAGAACGAGGCATTCTGAATACAGGAGAAAGAGCTTTCCATTTAGCAGGTGTAGAAGCAGGAGATAGCTGTAGCCTCTGGATTATACTCAATGCATAGACTTTCAATGATTTTGTGCTTTAGCAATTGTTGTTGTAATTTTTTACCCTCCTCCCACTGCACTCTTATCCCTCCCACATGTCGTGTGGCCAGATGCCTTACATTTTCACAGGAATACTAAAAGGATATCAAAGGTCTTGGTTTGCCAAGTTTTAAGTCTCGTCTCCAAAAAGTAGTATTTTCCAGCAGTGTGCAGCTTTAGGCAGACACCCAGGAAAGAAAATTTCAGCCTACATGATTGAAGTGTGATAGGATTAAAGATGAGAGGATGGCTTTGTCAGGAGTAAGATGAGATGAGATAATCTTAGAGCAGAAAATTCTTCTAGTCTGTTGAGTTATGAAGGTAGCCTGACTCATTCCTTAGAGCTACAACTGAGGAAGTTAAGAAAACAAATAGCCAGTTAACCCTAGCCTCACTGTCATCATGATCATAACCTGGGCTTCAGCCTTATCCCTGAAGATGGGGTTTCTTTGATCTCATGAGTAAAATTTGCATCCAGCTACAAGCGTGGTTAAGTATCCTAAAGAGCTTGACTTTGTCATGCTCCTCAGGTTCCTGTCATCTGCTTCTGTCCTCCTTGTTTCTTTTCCAGCTTTTCTGTTGAATTCCTTCTTCCTCTGTCCATCCTACTGTAGCTCTTTCCTCTAAATGTTGAGGATGGCTTTCATCCTATCCAAGACCTAGCTGAGTTTATAAAAGCAGTGATGTTGGACAACTATTTCTCTTGTGAAATGTAGTTTCATCTCTTTGACCAGTGAGCAGTCTGACTTAAATAATAATGTATAGCTGTATGGTGATTATATGGGTTTGTGAATCCAGGAATACACACCTGCATAGTGCAATATTTACTTTATTTCTCTTTTTCTTATTCATACATCTGTCAAGATTCTGAGGTGTTCTGCTAAGCTGCAGGGAAAAAAAAAATCCTATCAACAGACATATCCAGTCCCACTCTTCTTTGCTTTTTTAAATAAAGAAAATTGAAGTATGCATGAAAGTTCTGAAAAGGCATTTTCACAAAGACTCTCCTAATATCAGTTCTTTCATGCCTGTATTAAGAAAGGACAAGTACAAGTAAATCTGCTGATATTTTCTGTGGCTTTATGTTGTAGAATCAGAGGCCATTTCTTAGATAATCATGTCTCAAATTATTTAGGTGTTCAAGCATACAAATCAGTGCCTTGAACTAAGGCTTAAAGGTCCTTATGAGCTGCTAATATTAAAGAGAATTGCTTAATGTATTTTCAGTTGGCATCTGCATTTCAGAAGGTCAGCTGTGAGTATGCATCTTGTACAAGTAACACCAGCAACAAAGGCATAAGAGAGAAAGCAAAAGCAGAGTAGAGGGTACTTATGTATGGTGGGTGTTTAGAAATTTGCTGGGTCTGATACAGTTCCTTGGAGAATATTTAAAATGCATTCCTGTAAAATTGTGGATGGTAGCTAAGGTTCCAGTACAATGAATTTGTGAAGAAAAAATACATCAAACCAATAAAATTTATTTCTGTGGAAGAGTATCATGCCTTGTGAAGTGCTGCATGTCCCATAACATAACTTCTGTAACACATTGACATTAACTGGAATAAATAAAATGTAATTCACCAAGAAGTGCAAGGTTTTATGCTACAGAATAGTCAATTACATCAGTAAAAGGTGTGGGTCAGCTGGTAGGTGGTAGCTGTACCAAAAGGAAGCTACAGTAGATTGTAAGTTAAAGGAATTCTGTTGCCATATTCATTATTGATTGATCTGTGGACCTGATAAATCATTTTAGATCACACATTTGATCTGGCTTAGCTTTGAACAAGTGACAGCATTCCTGAACATGAGAGGTGATGTTTGCTTCTATTTTGTGGTAGCTGCAGGGAAACAAATTACACTTTTGGCAGAGTAACCTTAATTTCACAAAAATGTTTAAACATATTTGTGTGAATAAAGAGTTCTAGTAGGTCAGTGTTTGGCAGATGTGATGTTTAGTGCAGCATGCTATATTGTAAAATCAACACAGTCTTGTTGAACCATGGCCCGAATTACCACTGTTGTGGTCTTGTGACAGAGGAGTAATAGGCAGTCTGCTGTATGTCTAGACCTGTGTGACAAGGAAAATCTTGGATCTGAAAGCACAACCTGTGAGGACAGATTGCTTGAACTGATTTAGGCCAGAGGAGACTGAAGAGAGATGAAGTGGTGTTTGTATGTCTAAAAGGGATAGCTGCTGAAAAGATAAAGCAAATCAGTCAACAGGGCAAGAAACAATATGCTTAAATTACAGGAGCAGTTGCATTACATGCTAGGAAGAATCTTCCAATTGTAAAAATAATGAATTTCCTTCTAGTTGGATGGAATAATTTGCTTACGGAGGTTTTGAAATGTCTACTTTTCAGGGATTGTAGAAAGAATTCAGAGAAATACTTAAGAGAAATAGCATAGGTAGATGTGATTCTTCCCTGGGGCACAGAGAGAACTAAATGATTTCACGGGGCAGCTGCACTGGGGGTATGTGTGGCATTGTTATATATTTAATAGTTAGACTAGTCTGAAGATCTGAATTTTCTCAGATACTAGACAATAAATCTAATCCTGAAGTGGCAGTATTGTGGGTAACTGTGGCATAGTTACCACTGAAGGGAAAATGTCATATTCCTACTGCCAGGTACAGATGGAAAAAATGTGCCTGTGGCTACTGCTGTTACCTTGGCATATTAGAGCAATCAAGGATCTAGTACTCTTCTTGCCTTTGTAGCACAGACCTAGTTTGCAAATGGAGATCTCACCCTTTATATGGGCAACAATACAAGTTCCATCAATTCCTCTGACTCCTTTCTTCACCTTATGATTTTTACCTGCTACTTTTTGTTCAAGCCCATGGTTGTATTACCATACACGTGCTGGATACGTGCTGGATAGGTACACATAAGCTATATGTATTTTATTTAAGTAAATTTGTTTCGTCTTCACGGAAACAAACAAAATAAACAAATAAAATAAATTAGAAAGGGCAACAAATAAAAAAGGCAATGTCCTGTATTTCTCTAGAATGTCAACTAATGAAAACAGAGCGACCAAAGCCAAACACATTCATTATCAGATGTCTTCAGTGGACCACTGTCATAGAGAGGACATTCCATGTAGACACTCCAGAGGAACGGTGAGTATTTTTTGTTTTACTTGGGACGGCTGGGACTGCATGTTGATCAGCACTTGGAACTGTGGTGTTCTGAGCACATCTGAACAGTTATTTGAAGAAGTCGTAAGTCAACTTCTGTAACATATTTTTGAGCTCATAGCTAGTGTAAGAGTTGCCTGGGAGTAGGTGGGGTAAGTGTGTTCAAATAAGCCAATACTAAGCCATGATATGTCTCTGAAATGTTAAATTTTGAACAATAGAAGCCTACATTTCAAGTTTTTGCTATTAAAGTATTTACAAAATCAGACACTGGTAATTCCTGAAATGAACTGTGCAGTGGTCATTTTTGATGCTACTCACCTTCACCACCTTTAACGTATCGCAGAATTAAGAAGGAAATTAAGATGATTGATTTATATGATTTTTCTGCTGTCTCACATGAGAATTGACTACTGAAACCATGTAGCATGTGAAAAATTTTATAAAACATTTATTTGGATGAATGTTATAATTCTCTAATAAGGATGTTGGCTTGTTCATGACAGGGAAGAATGGACAGAAGCAATCCAGGCTGTAGCAGACAGACTTCAAAGGCAAGAAGAGGAGAGGATGAACTGTAGTCCAACTTCACAGATAGACAATATAGGAGAAGAAGAGATGGATGCTTCAACAACCCATCATAAAAGAAAGGTAATGATATTTAAAAATAACAGACAAGACTAATATATAAATAACTTTTGTAGAATGATTAGATGGGTAAAACAATATACAGGGAATAGTATTTCTGTAGAAATTCCAGTGTATTACAAGCGTAGAAGTACTTGTTTTATTTCAAGAATGCTGAACTACTTTTTTATTTATTTGTTATACTATCTGATACAGCACTTTGGAAAAACAATTATTCAGGCCCATGTTACCATTCTGCTTATTGTTTCAATATATTTGTCTTCTCCTTTTTGTTTGTTTACTGTTTCAGAAGTATGGTAATAAAATATTTTCTTTAAACAAGTAGATTTGCCCCCTTTCTCATGCAAATAATACCCAGTACGAATTAGATAATTTGCATAAGAAAGGCTAGCAGGATTTGGCTTTTAATGACCTTGGTTTTTGCTATCTGGGAAAATAACTTTGCTTTAGTTTTCAATGAAGTAAGCGAAAACAATGGCTTTTTTTTTTTTTTCTCAATCCCTCACAGCTTTTAGTGAAAGTAGGAATATGTACACTGTTGGCTATAATATCCTTGTAGTTGTATCTTCAGAGTCAACAGGATAAACACACAACTAAGAGCATGTTTTAAAGGTTCAGTGCCACATAAAAATTTGCTTATTATCTTGTGTTTCCATTTTCTCCTGTGTTTCTGTAAATATGGACCTCTCTTGAAGAATGGATCATTCAAACAGATGTCTCTCATTTACTGTACAGGATTGACATGACTCAAATGAAATTGCATGAGAAATAAAAACCTGTTTCTATAGAAGTGGCTTCATTCTTCCTAGCTAGAACAGAAAGCTGTAGAAAACTAAGTGGAAGGAAGTCTGCTGACAGAGAAAAATAGTCTTACAGCTGATATAACCGAATGCCTTTGAATGATGAACAATGAAATGAAATAGTGAACATGTGCCTTTACTCATAGAGCACGATTTGCTTGTTCTACTATACAAAGCAAGAATCATAGAAAAATCAATGACCAGAAACTATACCCTTATGAATAATACAGCTGAGTTGTCATAGGAAATCTTACTTCTGCCATGTCCTAACTTTTGAGGACCATTTGCAGTGAAAACGTAGTTCTTCCATGTTGTTTCACTGTATGCAGTTTCATAACCTTTTTCTGCTGTAGAAAAAGGTAAAAACTAATTATTTACAGCTGTAACAGTACCCTCCTCATAGACTGTCAGGCTGACATTGAACTTTTAGCCTCGCGGCATAGATGTTTAATGATTCTGCTCCAGGGGAAGATATGATAAGTATCAGCAAGACAGACAGGCAGTGTTAGAGATGTGTCAGTCCTTCTGAAAGGCAGTGAAATTATGTGCAAGGCATTTGGATTTGCTTTATTAAAGATCTGAGCACTGTTCCAAGCCTGCGTGTCCTCTTAGTGGAGTACAAAACCGCTGCATAACAACAAGCATTTTCAAGGTGTCAAAATTAATGCTGTCTAATATAGGTAGTTTATCTGGAGTGTATGCCTCCCTTGTTCACAGTGAAGTGCATTTTCCCATACCACAAAAGAGGTTGTGGGAAAAGGAGGAGGAGGAAGTTCAGTTTTGTTTCTGTCTTGCTACTTAAGCTTTAAGAAATGCTGAAATAAGATGCTGGGACAGTGTATGTGCAGTGCTGTAGAATATTTAATGGCTTTGGCAAAAAGCCAAAAGTAAATTCTACAAAACAAAGGTGAAATGAAAAGTGGCGATATTCAGCACCTAATAATAGAGCAGAATGGAGTTTTGGTAGCCAGTGAAGAGCATACTGATGACTGCAAGGATTGTTTGTTTGTTTTTTTCCCTTTCCTCGAGACTCAAAATCCCTCTGAACATTTCTGACTGTTGGAAGACTTTAGCAATATATTCTCAGAACTTTTTGGAATAAAAAATATTAACTGACCATAATGACAAGGACTTGTCACTCCCTCTGTGTTAGCTGAAATTGGTAAAAAAAAAAAAAAAATTTAAATTGTTTCTGTTTTATAGAAGTGTTTCTGAGAAGCTTCTCTTTATGCAGAATTGTTTCAGTTATAATGACTTAATGCATTTGTATTGCCTTTTTTTTTTTTTTTTGGTATTGGATTTCTTCTCATTTCAGGGATTTTTTGTACAATGTGTCCTACAAGCCTGTTTTGTCACCTGATTTAATGTCTAAGCCCAGTGAATTTTGCTTGTGCATGCACCAGATGGTATACATATGAGTAGAAGAATGTAATCAGATTAAGAAACAAGAGAGAGAGGAGTGGGCCTGGTTTTGTCTAAAAAGGTAGCAAAAGGTTTATGAAGAAAACAGTCTTTAGGGTGTGGAACTTGATTTGAACAGACATGACAGTAACAGCCCTGGCCAGATTAGCTGGAAGAAGCAAAAGCACTATTTTCTCTTTGCTGTTTCTTTTTAGTGGTGTCAGTGTGCTACTTAAGTTTTACAGTAGTAACATTGGTAAAATTCAGAGGACTAGGAATTTGTACCAAACTGCTTTTATTTCTTGCTGTACTATTCCTTGTAAGTAGAATTTCTTTCTGATGAGGTCAGATGAAGACTCCAAGTGGTATAGTCTTTGTGCAAATCAGGAATTTTTAAGAATTAGTTCCTTGGAAGGAATTTTCAACACCTGTAGTAGGGTGTATTCTTTTGAACAGATTATCCATTGGGAAGTAAATAGGCTTTAGAGAAAGCTGATCATCATATGATTCCTCGGTTAGTGCAGTTTTTTGTACCTTCCTTGCTTGCCCTTTGTTTACAAATTTGTTTTTCAGGGTGCAGGATGTGTAAAGAAAAGATTTTTTCAGAGGAAATCAAGAAATAATATAATAAGGAAAAAGATCCAATCTTCAGAATTTATTAGGAATGAAAAAGGTGGGAAAATAAGGATCAAGATTCCAATCTTATGGGAGCCTCCCAACTTGCTTACCGACATCCTTCAGGTTTAGGAAGTAATTCCATTTTCCCACCAGTTTTCAGTACACCCTTAGCAATGGCATCTGTGTTTTTTTCTCCCAAGGTCTTGTGTTCTTTGGCAGACCTTTTGAGTTACTCTGCAATGCATATCATCTTGAAGCCTTCTGCTGAGCTCCTAGAGAATGAGAGAGCATCAGAAGACTTTATTCTTAGAACTGACACTATTGCCATAGCCTGCTGTTAAGCCACAGCTCAAAATCTTGCAAACCGATTACCTTCTTCTTATGCATATTTTTTTTTTAACTTGTTTTCACTAGGTTTGCTGCTAGATTCATGTTTGCTTTGATCAACGTTATGTAAGCTAATTTTGGGGAAACTCTTTCAGTTTGACTGACCTGCTGCCCTTACCATCAAACCTGTGTCGGTGATCAATCAAGCCCAAATCGTCCTTCTGTGTGTGGGCAAAGGGCTGCTTTTCTGTGCTGGTTTTAGTCAGACTCTGATGGTCTGTATTCTGAGTTCAGCCTCTCAAAGATCAGAAGGATAGGAAAATGTTGCCCCTTTGAGGCTACTTATGGTGGCATAAATTTTTGCCTGTTAAAAGTGATAAGTTGTTATAGTCACTAATAAGTATTCTTTATCAATAACGCTGTTGGCCATTATTTGTTGGGTATGCAATAGCTTATGACTGAAGATGTGGAGGATTCTGCCCTGAATTACTCATCTTCTGCCTCAAATCTGTTTTGAATGCATTTTAGATTTTTCATGTGTGCTTTTGTCAATTTACTTTGCAGCTTTTAAGTTGCAAGTTGAACACTTAAAAGCTGAGGAATTACAGCTCTGAAGTGATTGCTGGAACTTCAGTTCTACCTCTTACATGAGCAGATTTCAAACTGACTCTGACCAATTGCATGAATTATTTTCACAGGGTGTTGACAGCGACTTCAGATCCACAGTAATAGTATGGTTGAGCTTAAAGGAGTAAATTTTCTAAGGAAATTTTGCCCTTTATTCTTTCTCACAAAGGAGAATATATCTCACTGCCACTTTGTGATTGCACACCAGGGATATGCCCAACAGCTCTACATGTGGGATATGTATGAGATAAGTAGGCACCGTTAGAGATGTTTCTGGTAGAGATAAGGAAAGTACTGTGGAAGACACAAGTAGAAGTTTATATGGAACCACTAGTATTCAAGAAAATTGCCTGAAGCTGCAATTAGTGACAGAAAGAGACATTAGGAAGATGAAAGATAAGGCATGATTTTTTCTTTTCATCACACATAACAGAGTTATATTTAAGTTAGCAAAACTGAGATGTGGAGTATAATTATTCTTTATAAAAGTTTTGAGGTGTTTTATTCACAAAGGAAGGAAGGTTATTGATACTGCAGGGCAATCCTGTAACAAGAATAGGTGAGTGTGTTGTCTTTCAGTGCTTGTAGCTGCCTTCCTCAAGGTTCCTTGGCTGCCTTAATGGTCTGTGTGTGGTAATGTGGTGCTGCAGCCAAGCCTGTAACACAGTGTGCTGGAAGAGATGCTGTCGAAACATGCAGTGGAAGCCAGTGATTGGCCCTGAGTTGGCCAAAGAAACCCTGTTGTCAACTCAAGGTGACCCTGTGCAGTCAGTGCATTCTCAAAGTTGTGGGTTTTTTTTCTGCATCCTCATCTTTGGATCAGATGCAAAGTTGATGCTTCTGAACTGGCTATGAAATGAACTTGAAGAACTAAGACAATTACTGACTCGAGCTTTTTGCTCATGGAAGTGGTTGAACTACTTTAGGATCTGAGATCACCTGGTCATATTCTTTCAGCATGTGACACTGCAGTTGAGCTGATAAACCTACTAGGCTCAAATTATCTGTTGGTAGAACCAGCTCAGGATGTACTACATTTAACCTGAAAAACGAGGGTGATAATAGATACTTGGATGGTTACTATAATGGAGTCACATGAAAGAGGAAAACCTGCCACTTCTTCCTTTGCAGAACCAGAATGATTAATGCAAAACCCATGTAACTGTAATCAATGTTCAGACTTTTAGAAGTCCACCTCTAATGCAAAGACTGTTGTACGGTCTTACTGCTATAAGATTGCAGTGAGGATGATCTATATTTCAAAAAAAGCCATGAGTGAAGCAGCTGGTGTTATGCAAAACCTATTGATTTACCATGTTCTTGTATCCCTGATAGTACAGGAGTTGTTCCACAGCTAAGAAAGCTGATCATTCATGAAATGCTGGTATAGGCTAAGACTTTGTTCTGTGTGTGCTTTGGAAAAAAAAGTGTGTTTATGTGTGTGTGTGTGTGTGTATTATACTGTGTAATACTTGACTCTGGAGAACTAAAATGATACTATCAAACAATATAGCCTAGTGATTTAAAGATACAGTCAACTATTATATCCCTGATAGTACAGGAGTTGATCAGCTTTCTTAGCTGTGGAACATTCATGAAATGCTGGTTATAGGCTAAGACTTTCTTCTGTGTGTGCTTTGGAAAAAAAAGTGTCTTGCTAATCCTTGTTCTTTTTTCCTTATAGACAATGAATGATTTTGACTATTTAAAACTACTGGGCAAAGGAACATTTGGCAAAGTTATCCTGGTCAGAGAGAAGGCTAGTGGGAAATACTATGCTATGAAGATTTTGAAAAAAGAAGTCATTATTGCTAAGGTAAGGAAGGCTATAGTTTTAATACTGTGGTTTTGTTGGTGGTGTTTTTTTTTTTTTTTAATTGAATAATCAATATCTAATACATAAGGTATATTTGATTTTGGATAGTAACTGAGTCTGATAAAAATATGTTTGTATCTTCAGAAAACAAGAATAGAAAAAAAGTATGTGTACTGATTTTGCATGACTTTTTCCAGTGTCTTATAATCTGGAGTGTGCTAAAGCACTCAGAGTTCACTGGGCAGGAAGATAGTGCAATCCAAGTTTAAAACAAGAAAAAATGCATTGTAGGGTATACTGCATAAAAATTTTTTCTGTCAACTGCATGTTTATTCAGATAAATACAATTAATTTAATAGGCTTGTGCTCTGTTCCTGCTATGTTAGATGAAATTGCTGTGCATGGGACTAACAATTTCATTTTTTCAGTTTCTGTGGAACAAGAAAAGTCTGAAGATGATGCCTGAAGAGGTGGTTTAATCTGGCATTGTCCAGTCACTTAAGCTTGGTTAGTTTAGTGTTACTAGTTTTTGTGCTTGGTCATAATTTTACTGAGTTTAAACATGAAGATCGTCTACTCTGTGCTTTGATCCTAGCACAGAACCAGCTGAGAGCAAGAAACCTACATGCTATTACCACCATGAGACACAATTAAAAATATTCCAAATTATTAAGTAAAGAGGTTTTTGAGGGATGTGGATCTGAGTGAGATTTCTGAATGCTTGAGGCTAACAATACCAGTATTCATAAAAACTGAATATAGATGGGAACTACTGTGGTTTACATATATTTTATTTCAAAATATCCTTCAGATTTTTCTAATTTTCCTATTGGCCTATGAAAACAGGTTTTACAGAGTTTTGCAGTCTACCTCTATGTTCATTTGTATATCTGTCACTCACTTTCTAATAACTTTTGAATGTGCTGATCAGTTTCAATTAAATTTGATAGAGGAATAGAAACCTCAAAGACAATTATATTTCCTTGAGTTTCATTGAAACCAGCCCTGGTGTAGGGGGAGAGACTCAAATTTATGTCTTCAGCAGAGAAGAGACTGACCTGTGAGTTCTGCGTGCCCTTAGCAGCTGTCTTGCATGCACTGGCAGGCAATCAACAGTGCTCTTCTTCATAATCAGGAGATGCAGAGAGAAAAGAGAGTATTGCTGCTGTGTTCTCCTCGTTCTGCATGGGAAGGAGCATCTCAGTGGCCCTCCTTCTAAGACTTTATAAACACCAGCAATCTCTGTGGGTTGCCGTGTGGGCCTTGGAGTCTGTCTGGTTGCTGCATGCTGTGGCCCAGTCTCCAGCCTGACGTCTTTCCGCAGTGCTCTGCTCACCCGTGACACCCAGGGGATCCTCAGGGGAGCTGTGTATCTGACTGCTGCAGGCTCCTGCTCTGCTACTGCTCGTTTATACCCTTCCAGCCTTCAGAGCATTTCAGTTTGGTTTTTTGTATCAATAAAACCCAACTCACGTTTTTGAATTTTAGGGTTTTTCCTTTTATTTTGCTAGCTGCTACAATATCACTGAATTTTCAGAAGGGTTAAAACTGATACTTAGATAACTTTGTCTATCTCTATTGAGTGAAAATTCTTGTCCATAGAACTATGTATAAAGGTAGAGAAATTTTGATGAGAGCAGGGATTCATTTGTTCATTGATCCGTTTACCTGAAATCAGAAAGCTAGCTCAGTGATAGACTGGGCAGAACCTGACACTTACTAAAGCAGACCAGGGTCTGTTTTTCTTCCTATTTGTAGACTTAAAAAAAAAAAAAGAGTAAGTGTGTGAGAAGGCGTGTTTCATCCTGTGATGGAAATGGGAGCATCTCAGCCTTTTAAATTTTGCTTCCTCAGAACTGGAACTTTGTTTTGAAAGGAGTCTCTCTAATTTTTCCATAATAGGGCAGTATGTTGATAAGAAACTGATGAAAGAATAAAAAATGGACTATACTTAGACCTCAACAAGTGACGTGATAGTATTTTTTTCCTTATAGTCACTAAATACCAGTTTTTCCACTTCTCCCCAAAACTAAAAACAAAAGCAGACTTGAGCCTGAATTTAGCTGTCAGGCCCAGTTGTCTAAGCATGCCCTCAGTGCTAACAATATGATCACTGGGTAGAATAGATCTGCAGTTCCAGCTCAGCCTAAAATGTGATACAGTTATACACTATAGAAGGTCATACCTGTCACAGCATAAACTGAAGCAGAAAGGTGGTGCATTCACACCTGGATCTAGAAGTTTGTATAGCATGTGGTCAGTTCAAACTAAATTCAAACCTAAATTTTGGTGACAGATTAGTATTACACTTAGGAAATTACTAGCAGTGTTACAAACTTCTTGAGGCAGTGGTGGAAAAACTGGCCACTGGTGGATTTTATGTCCCATATCTGGTGAACAGCAGAAGTTTAAAAATAAATAAAAAGTCTTTAGGCTAGCTTTTCTCCTTAGAGTGTTTTTTGTTTTCTCCTCAGTATGCGGCTGTAGTGTATACCCTCAGTGTTGCATTGCTATTCAGCTAAATGGCATCATGATTTATTACTGCTAACTCTGTTGTTGTTAACTTCCTATTTTGACAATTTTAAAAGTCTAACTTGAAAGTCCTGACATCTCTGCTTAATTTCTAGTGTAATAATACCTTATCTTTGGAACATAGTCTGACAAGCATGTGTAGTACAATAATGTTATATTGGTATTATTTGTAGCAATAATAAAGTATACTCGGACTAAACGTATTAAGAATAAATATATTATTTCCGCACTGGAGATGGGGCGAGGGTTGTGTGGACATCTCCTGAAGATGGACCAGATGGGTGAGGAATGAGGTTGTACAGCTACGTGGTTCTAAAGAAAACCAAAGCAAACACCTGTTTTAAAACAGAAAAATTGGCTTTACTCAACATCAGGCTAGGTTAGACCATGTTTACAGTTGCCTGTCAGTTACTACCTGTATATGTGTTTTGCAAATTGATCCAATCTCTCAGTAGTTAAGTTGTTCAGATGATTCATACCAGAGTTGTGAAACTATGATCAATACATTTTAAAGCTATCATATCTAATAGTGTTATTTCTTCCTTCTCTGTATTGGATATAAAGACTGCATTATAAAGCAATAAAATACAATAAAATATGTTAAATTGTATTTTGCTCAACTTAAATGTACTTTAATTTCTAAAAAACTATGAATTATTATTTCATGTTTTATTAGGTTCATTCATTTTCCAAGACTATACTATAGCTTTCTCTTTTTGAAAGTGTTGACCTTTTCCTCTTAATTAACTAAATAATAATTTCATATCTTAATTCAGACCTACTTCCTTTGTTCTTTATTTCTCAGGATGAAGTGGCTCATACGCTTACAGAAAGCAGAGTATTGAAAAACACCAGACATCCTTTTTTAACAGTAAGTTTTAAGAACATTATCAGGTAGTTATCAAAATAATAAGTATTCCATTATGAGCATAATTAACAAATTTTGAAGTCTGTCTCATGATGATTTGTAAACAAGCAGTAGCTATCTGGTGCACATGATATCCTGTATCAGAATATATATTTGAGAGTTCAGAAATAAAGCTTCTAATAATTTTGTAAGGTTTAACTGCACTGAAAACAAAGTTTATTATAGAATGTAACTACTGTGTAATTTTTTGTGATTTTTGTATATGGAAACTTTTTTAAAAAAAAGTTATTGATTTGACATAGTGTCAAGTAAGTAATTTTTACCAAGAAAACTTCATTAAGAGTTCAGTAAGATGATAAAAATAACTATTTGTTCACCATAAGTAGCACATGAAAAAATAAAACTCAAACCTTACTGCTTCTGTATCTTTGCCTTGATATGGTTAATGTTTAGTCGAAGGAAAATATTAAAAAGGTGAAAATTTTGAGATTCATGAAAAATTATGATTTTTAATTTTACAGCTGACTTTCTTCTGTAGAAGTAATTATGATTCCTTTGAGAATACATTACAAAATATTTTAATTGATTTCAAAAGATAATTAACAAGTAGGGAAAAATTTTAATGTAGGAAAAAATATTTCTTTTTTGTATTAAAATATCAATGTATAACATGGAAAATTTCCTATTTAGAAAGTCATGCACCCTTTAGAAATCAGAGGATACCATTTACATAGCTTAGCCAAAATATTCTTGGAAATTCAGTCACCAGAAATGAGATCCCCCAAAGCTTCTTAAATTAGAGTGTAAAGGTAAGCAGGAGTAGGTGTAATTGCAGTCAAATTGTGCAACAATGATGCTGCAATTACATCTTCATATCTTTTTTGATATTATGAAACAGATATTTTAAGGAGACATGCAGTATTTAACTCATATCAGTCTCTTTGTGATTTTGTTGCTTGTGGTTCTACTGCATTTTGTTTCTTTTAGGTCAGTCCTGCATCTGCAGATTTTCTTTGGTATAATTTTTTCCAAGCAAAATGAAATCAACATCGATGAGACAAAAATTTTAATTAAGATAATAAAATTTGTTACAATTTGAAAATGGTATGTAAATAGATATAGTCATTTGGCATTCAGGTTTTTTTAATATTGCATAGTCTCTGAAACTAGAGAGTCCATGCTTTGGAAATGAAAGCAGACTGGTGATTAAGATCAGTTTTCAGATTTCATTTGGCAGAAATTAAAAAGAATCTGATAATCGCTCTCTTCATGGGCATTATAGAAGTGGACATCATAAAATATGATGAATGAGAATGGCTGGTAACACGTATGGCAGTGAAAAATGCAGTGTAAAATTGTGTATTTTAGTAACTATTTAGTATTTTATTATAACAAGCACGATGTTTTTCTGTCAGTGGCCATGTGGCAGAGATAAGGGAAGACATGAAAGTTTTTGTGTTAATTCATCTCAAGCTCCAAATAAGAAGTTACACTTCTAATTACCCTGAAAGTTCTCACCAAGTCAGATTTGTCTGCTTAACAGGATAAAATTAAATTTTGTTAGAGTTTAAGAGCAAGAAATAGGGTAAATACAAGATGATAATTGGTTTGGTTTTGCTGTTTTCTTTGCAAGTCCTTGAAATATTCCTTCCAGACAAAGGATCGTTTGTGTTTTGTGATGGAGTATGTTAACGGAGGAGAGGTAAGTTTAAAAAAGATGTTCTGCACTTTTAATGATCATGCTGTTATTGGGTTACACTTTAAAGGATATAATTTTGTTGCTGCCTTTGCTTTCTAGCATCTTTGAAGGTTTGTTTTTTTTTTTTCATTTTTAAAATGTTTTCATTTTTAAAACTTGTAGATGTGTTTTATAACTAAGCTGTCAAAAGTGCTTGCTATTCTTGAAAAAAATTAGACTTGTATTGTGGAAGATAATTTCATGGTAGAGAAATAATTACAAATAGCTTGCTTATATTTTGTTTTTCTTCAAGCATATTATAGCATGTTCTGGAATGAAATTGTCATACTCTGGCACAAACAAGCAAAAATAATGTTGACTTTTTGTCTACTTTTGACTAATGTGGAATACGTGCTCTCTTCTTTGCTGCAACCATTCCAAATACCTGTGAGAAAACAGTGGAGTGTTGATATTGTTCATTACTTCTGTCCCCTTCACGTGCTGTGTACTCTGGAAATTTCAGCTTCAGTGCTAAACTTCTTGGAGTGTCATTAGCCTTTGCCTTTAAGCTGTTGCTGTTCTCCAGCTGTTTACTGAAGAATGGGATATCAAAAACTATACCTATCAAATGGTATTAAAGAGAATTGCAATCTATGAAGAGGCCTTTTATCTAACTTTTAGGTGCTGATTGCTGTTCAGACTGTATATCGTTACAATGTGAGCAAGAGGATTTTCCTTATTTTGACCCTTCTCAGTCTACAATATGCTGCATAATAACATTAAAGAACTTAAGTATTTCCTCTAGCTTTTTTTATTAGAAAACTGTTTCTTCATTCTGGAATTGCTGCAGCATGATACCATGTTTTTCATTATTCTTTTGCTGTGTTCTCCTACAATAAAACTGTCTTCAGCTATAACCCTAATGCCTGAGCACACCCGGAGCACCTCTCTTACTTTTGTTGCTCTGGCAAATTCTGGGCCCAGTCAGAGGCCCGTTTACATCCTAACTCACCCGTGGTCATCTTCTACCAGCCTGACATGGTGCTCTAGGGTTCTCCGATGGGAGGGCAGCTTGTTTGACTTCGTATGTATAAATCTCGTTCTGGACATCATGGACATTGAACCATTTTGGCTAGTTGAATGACACACAAAAACGTCCCATAGCAGTAATGGAATAGCAGCCTTCTCTTGCACAGTTGTCTTATTTGACATAGAATTTGTCACCAATATTTTCAGTGCTATCTGCAGTGATTTTTAAAAGTCATGCCCTATGAAGTAGCTAATTCTTCTTTGTTTTCTCTCTGTAAGACCTGATTGTATTTCCGTCATCTCAGGGGGTTCACTCTGAAAACGTTTTTAACATCAACCTATCATTTTGGTAGGCTCTTTTTGAAAGATAACTTTGTCTTATATGAATGCAGAGCAGAGCCCACAGGAAATGTTTTCAACTTCTTTCTTATGATTGAGGATACTCTGACACTGTGTTGCCATCAGGCTTGTATTTTGCATTACTCTGCACTGGGTGGTGCACCTTTGTGGCAGCGCTGGGAACATCTTGTGTCATGGGTTTCTTAGTAGCAGCCTGCTTTTCCTTAGTGGGATTTCAATAATTGCAATGTACTTTGTCAAGAGCAGGTTGGTTTTTTTTCCAGGTATGATGGTCTTGTTTGTCAGTGTTGCTCATGTTCTTTGCTGATGGTTCCCTAATTCAGTGAAGCTAGCTGTAAATTTTTGCCACAGTGGGAAATAATGGCCTTTCAAAATAGGCAGTTTTCTTTGAAGAAACTCTTGATTTGTTTATGTACTTCTCCCTCACTAGAGATCTGGAATAGTAAGTTGGACAAGCTGCTCATTTGAAATAGGAAAATCTTTGATCATACCAAATTCTCCTGTGAATTCCTGACTTTTGTCACTGTCTGCTAAGAAAAACCATGAACTTTGTGTTTGTAAAAATAGGCTTGTTATAAACTCGGAACTACTGAAAGTCACTTGCACAAATTCTAACCATTTGAAAGGGTATCTCCTGTATGCTACACAGACTTTTTTCTTTTGCCACTTCCCTCTACTCTTCGATGTTCCAAGGTAGTTTCATTTCCTTACAGTGGTTTCTCACTGTTCAGGGTGTTGAAAAAATCACCTTTTAGTTATATCCTTCCAGTGGGAAATTGACTCTAGCAGTACCATATTGGTTTTGATTCTCTCCAGAACTGTACTAGCTTCAGTGTGTTTCTGTTTAAAATTCCTTTAGATTAAAGACTTCTTTTTAGCTAAACAATTGTGCCTGAGTCAGTTGCTTGGGAATTTTCATGGATTGTATCTTTCAGGAACACATTACCTAAAGTCCTATGAATTAAGGACTTGATGAATAAGGAAATGAAGGAGTTCTTGAAATTTGTATTTGTATTCTTTACTCTCACTCGGATGAAGGCAAGAAAATGTCACAATTTCGGTTTATGCCCTAATACAGCAATAAAAAGTGTAGTCAGTACTAGGAGTCTTCAGTTCCTCTTCCTGTAGTTAGGAAGGAAAATAGTCGAGAAAAGAGTCACTGAATTTAATTCTGGGAGAGCAGAAACAGTGTTAAAATTATTCTGAACAAGATTCTTCTTTACCTGTTAAAAATCTAGATCCATGTTGAATTTAATATCCCACCAGAATAGTGTCAATTTATCTTTGCCTAACCTTGTAGCTTCAAATTAGTTATTCTAAGTTAATAATGGAACATGCTCTAATGAGAACGTAACTGCATCAGTTTTACTGGTCTATATGTGTGCTTTTATTTTTTACAATGTACTAAGTATTACCATATAAAATTCCATTTTGACATTTGTAAAAAAAGAAACCCAGACTTATTCTGTAGACAAATATAGAGCAAAACATTAGAGGATTTTTTCAAGCGAATTATTCAGAGAGAGTCATTGAATACATTTTTTATGTACTGACAGCTTTTACAGTTAATTTTATGCTGCTTAAGGACCCAATCTTGAAATCTTTTTTGCGGCCTGAAAGCTTAACTTTATCTTTTTTCAGTATTGCTGTTGGACTCTGTGGATGAAATGTTTAGCAATGTCTGTTGGTCATATACAGTGGTGCAGTATAGAGCTAGAAGCTTGCTTCTGACATTGTGATTGCTTTTCAACACCTTTGTTATGCTGAAGGAATTACTTTAAAGTAACATGGAGACATTGATATTTGGTTTTAGAAAAAAATATACTCATCTGGCTTAGGTGAGAAGACCAAAACTCGTTATCAAGACTTTGAAATAGCATGTTTATGAGTATGTGGTAAAAACGTACAGGCAGTATTGCATGATAAACTGTGTTCTTTACTTTGGTTCAATATATGGAGTATTCCTGTAAATATATTAAAATTAGTAAAGCTATCAGTGCTTCCAGATGAACACAGACCTACTTTAAAGAAGAGAAAAACACTTAATTTTTGTGCATTTTTTTTTCCTGTCCTTGTCCTATGAGCAATTGGAAGGGTTTTTCTTTAGTATTGATTTGCCTGCTCTTCCTTTTGTAGACCATATGCTTTTGACTACTATGTGATTGCGGAACATTAGTAGTGCATTAGAATGTTTCCCCAGCTTCCAGGCCAGAAGATGGTATAAACTGTGGTATATTCTAAGAATGACTCTTTGTTGTTAGGGAATGCTTTTGAAGTGTATGTTTCACATTTCTTATTTCCAGTATTTTGCTTTAAATGTTGAAATCTTTAAGAATGAAGTCTATTACATACATTACTCTGCAGAGTACACTGGTTCAGCTGACTAATAAATTGATGAACTTTTTTGCTTTGCATTTTTAGTATAATTCCAAATTCTGTACTTTGCACCAAACTTAATTAGTAATCATCTGTATAATAAATAAGAATCTAAAATTTGTTTAGATGATTTCTCCACAGCAGAATTCTGAATCTCTGTTCCACTTGGCTTTTTTTTTCCCCCAGCTCTTACATAAGTTCATAAGGCAAGAGAGAACTGAATGATTTGTTGCAATTGAACAAGTGCTATTCCTGTCTAGAAAAAAGACAGAGCATTTACAACCTACCTAGTGAAAAGTAACTGACTATTGTTATGAACTTTGTCATTTTTATCTAGGTTCTGTCCTGTTTTGTTTTCCTAAACTCTAAGTAAATGAAAGAATGTTCCATAAACTAAAACTGTTATATCCAAGATAAGGGTGTTACATTTCTTTGCATATAGGTTATGTCTGGAAGCAGTATAAAGTCTGAAACAATAAACAAATAATTCAAAATTTCAAGACTGCTACTGGAAGTGCTTTGCAAGAGAGTCAAATCAACAGTCAGATATAGAGTGTGTTTAACTGATGAGCAAACCCAATACACAACAGCAAGAGCCAGTCATACAACTTTCAGTATGCTAAATAGGTCACTAGCGTGTGTAAAAGTTTAAGATGTTGATTGATATAAGGTTTTGTCTTTTACCTATTTGGATCTACAGCTAAAGATACTTTTATGTTTGATCTTTGTTTTTATGCGTTAAATTTTTTCAATTAGATTTTTTATTAGGAAAAAAACCCATGGCAACATTGTTGTTCAGTTTTTAAATAAAGACCTATCAGGAAATTTATAGCTCTAATCCTCACTGTATAGCACCCTCATGTATGCCATCAAAAATGTTATGTGCAAAATGGCTTTCTTTCTGCCAAAGCTATTTCTACTGCAATTCCAATGACTTTATAGCACATATTTAATAACTGTAAATCATAAATAGTGCAAAAGTTGGAAGGCTTTTTTCATAATCTCCCATCGGCTTTCTTTTCTTTTTTTGACTTCATAACACTAATCTTCACGTTCTGTCAAAATTGTAAATGGAGCCTGGTGACAAAACTATTCAAAAATAGCGAACCAACTAAGTAATTAACTGAAAATAATCCCAGTGAATTAGATTTTTCCACTACAATTTTGAAGTTTGCTTTAATATCTGTGGCATATATCTGAGTGTATGAATTCATGTTTAACTTGCATTTTTGTATGTAAACATTCTTCATTCAAAACTAGCGTGTATAGTTTGATGACAACTCTGGTAGGTGCTATAGTAATATGAAGAATTAAAACAAGAGTAATGCTTATTATATGACACCAGAGTCACTCATCATGTTAAACTAACTTGGGAGCTCATAGTCTCTTTGGCAACCAGAGAACTGTTGCTAGTTGTTTCTGGCTGGTCATTTAACTTTGAAGTTAGTATTTTGAATGAATATTTTGTTGGAAATAAACGCTAAATAAATTTTTGTTATATTAACTTTCCATCTTACCAACTCACAGGCTGAAATTGGGACACTTTTTTTACAGAAAGTAATACATCTTTGCTGACAAGTATCCTGAGGTTTTAGAATTTTCTAAACTTTGTTACTCAGCTAGTGGATTTAGCCTCTTTCACACAGAAAATTGCAGTAGTCGTTTTGCTTATATATAAATGTAGGGCTAACTGGAGGTTACATTGTACATTTTTGGAATGTGTTTTCTATTTGTACACATTAAAAAGTGATTGAAGGTTACCCTTTATTTTCAGTTACTTTAATTACATCAAAAAAAATAGGACTTTTAAAAATGATTGACGTTAGCTCATTATTTAGAAAAGAGAACACAGTCCAGACATAAAAGCATAAATTACATAAATTTTGTCTTTTGCTTTACTTGGTTGAAGGTCTGGGTAGGAGTGTTTGTTTCCTGTTCAAACCTTGCAAAAATGTATGGAAAAGATCCCAAAAAAATTGTGACATCTATTTATTCTTCTCCCAATGTTATAATATGTGAGGAACTTCATCAAGTCAGAGTTAGTTGCTTGGTCTGTATGGGTCTTGTGTTTGCACTGGCAATTAAGCAGTCATTAGAACAGAAAGCAGGTTACTACAGGGAGGACTGATGTCACCACTAGGGATTGGTGCTTAAACAGTGAAATGAGCAGCAGAAGCAATGGAAATACCTACAAAATAATGATCTTCCTCATCATGCAGGTATTCCATTTTTGTACAAGATGTCTTGAGAATTCAAAAAGAAACTGAAAGAAGAATGCAGATACAATGAGCAAAACTGAAACATTCTCTTTAAATCATACTGTAGTTTCTGTTTTCTGTTACATGTCTCTGCTTATACAAATATATGCTGCCAAAAGGCTAAGTTTAGTGGGAAATTTATTCAGATTCAAAAGAAAGTACTACAGAGTTTTTGAAGTACATGTGTCAGGAAAGAAGTTAACTTCTAGTTATTTATAGAATTTACTTTTTAATTACATTTTGAAAAGTCCACATGCTGAAAATAGCTGCAGTAATTCTTGCTGTGTTCTGTGTTGCGTGAGCAGTGTGGATTTCATACAGGTGTAAAGTAGGTTGTGGTAACGGCAGATGAAGCGCTTTTTTTTTTTTCACCTACCCTGTAATTTCAGAATTCTCATCTGCTTGATATTTTTAGCAGTGAAAATAAAAAGACCACACTGTAGTTCTGGATTCTTCCTTGTCTGTATTTAATTTATAAATGATCACATTTTCTGGATTTCTGTTTAGTTGATTGTTAGCTTTAGTGGTCAACCCAAACCATTGTAACTTGAAGGAGTAAGGCAGGCAGAATACAGCATGGTGCTCACTAGTCTTTGCTTGAGGGCCTTCCCAAGCTTTTTTTAAACAGTAAGTAATACTGGCCATTTTAGAGAGTGTTTGAATTAAATAGCCAGATTCTGCCTTTTTTTTGGTGTTCTCCTAGGTACTGAGGGTGCTGTTTTATCCAGTAAGATGCTGACAGCTTCACAGAACTTCACCTTACACTTTTTCACTGCAGCTGAAGTCGCTGTTGATGACTAATGTAAAGACTTTGGTTGAAAAAGTGTCTGCGAAGTGCTGTTACTTATACAGTACCAAAAAAAGGACAACTTTCCCCCAATAAATGTTTATGTTGTAGCAAAGAACTACGTTAAATACATAGCTTTGTTTCTATAAGCCCTAAGCAGTTGTTGGTTTGCTTTTTCTAGTGCCTGCGATACTGCTAGCAGTATGAATGTGCTGGCTTTGTGAAATGCCAGTTCACTGGTTCAGTCAAAGGCTGCTGCAGAACTAGACTTTTTCAGTTCAAAGGAAAGTTACTGAATGACTGGAAAACTTAAGGCAAAACCAGAATTTGGGTATTTTTCTGAGATTTCTCAGTGGCATAGAATAAAAATCTGAGGACATGCTGGAGGGAGAAGTAGAGAATGCTGCTACTGCATGCTTGCTTTTTTTTTTTTTTCATCTGGTAACTGAAGGTTAAATGAGTAGCAAGCAGAATGCCTTAAACAAGATTGGTATATTGATTAAAACGCTGATTTAACAGCTCGCGTTCTCCCTTTGGAAACCTGGAAAAGATAAGCCAGCTGCTGTCTAAGAGTGCTGAGTGTCCACTGAGAGTACACTATCTATCATCACAATATGGTGATGAGAGGTGTTTTATGTTTGTGTTAATTTCCCCCACTAAATCAGTAATTATTACAATCCTGTCCCTGCTGTTTACCCTGCAGCTGTTTTTCCATTTGTCGAGAGAGCGGGTGTTCTCAGAGGACCGCACACGCTTCTATGGTGCAGAAATCGTCTCTGCCCTGGACTATCTGCATTCTGGGAAGATTGTGTACCGTGATCTCAAGGTAAAAAAAGAAAAAAAAAAAAAGTAATCAAATTTTTGTTTTTACAGAGACTATTGGGACAAACACAAAGTAATTATAAAGTTGCACTATTCACAGTTAAGGGGGGGGAAGGAAAAAAATCTGTGTTTGGTTTAAAGTTCTGTGTTTGCTCAAAGAAGTTGTTTGATACAGAAATCTATAGATGGGTACGTTACTTGACTTTAACTTGATTGAAAAGAACCACAGCATACCTGAGTAATAGCATTTGAAAGAGATTTAAACTTCTGATCCTTTTTTTTTTCCCCCATTACTTATGACTCAGATTAACACAAATCTCAAATATAATTCTCAGTGTCCCCAAACAAGGGAAATGAGGAATTGTGAGTGTGACAGCACTCTCTTTATCTCACCGAAGAGTTATGTTCTTGTATGATTTGAAAACATTTAGACCGATTCAGAATATTTCAACAGGAAAAGAGTTTCTGCCTTAATTAAAAAAAATTGTTTTCGTATCATGGGAAAGATCCATAATATTGGAATGTAATTTGTCTCAGATTTGCCTGGAGTATGCTGTTGTGTATATTCTGTTGCCTGAAGTTTCAGGTACTCTGTGACACAGCATAACCGTGTTCTATGAAAAGTAACCTCTGCTTTCAACAGGGACTTTTTCTGATTTATGTGGGAAGAACCTCTAAATTCCAGGATGAGACTACTTTGTTTCCATGGCAGGCCTTTAACTTCTTGCAGGGGAAATTGTGTTTTCCCATTATACATGTGTGGTAGTGGAGTTCATTCATGGACTCTGTTGTACAGGAGCTGAGGAGAAGGAGACAATGACAGGCAAGTTCTGCTCAGGGAAGCAGACAAAAACCAAAATACCGGCTTGCTTATTTCTAGCAGAATCTGTCGTAATAACAGGAAATGCTGTGACGTCTTGGAAAAATATGGAATTGTCTGATCAAGGAATGATAGGTCATGATTCCTGATTTAAATTCTAAATAATAAGGAAAAAGGAATTTGACATAAATCTTCTATTGCTGGTGTCATCTGCTTGGCATAATCTTCATAAGACACTGCTAGACTGAACAGGAAATCTATACCTTGGAATTGTATTTCAAGCTTTATGCAGACTTAAGACAGGGCTATGATTGTTCATTGTTGGTATTTTCACTGCACACCTTATAATTAGGAAAAAACCCTCTTTTTTCAATTGAGAAAAGTTGCTCAGAACTATATTTTACTTGGCTTTAGTTCTGATTTAAAGTATTGCTAATAAAAAACTTTTGGGGATGTGATGTTGATGGTGCTTTTGAGATAGTCCACAATAAATATTGCAGTATTTTTATTCTGTTTCTTTAAATACTTTGTGACAAGGTATATTCTGTTTTTGCATTTCAAAGCAAGAATCATGTTTTTAAAAAGCAATGTGAAGCATGCAGAGGTAGACACACAATTTGGGAACAGTATCTTTTGCAAATATCCAAGGAGGAATTATTTATCTCAGGGTTTTGTTTTTATCAGTAGACTCTCTATCCCCTCTTTTGTCTGTTACTGAAAAGGTTGTGGAAGATGCAGGTATTTTAAGGTTTTATGGATATATACTAACTATTTCAAGGCAGTATAGTAAGTAAAATGCATCTTGATAAATGAAGGTCATGTTACAGCAAAGGAAGCCTATCCAGTCTTACCGAATGACAGCCGTGATTGTAGCCTGGAATGACTTGATTATATCTTGAGAATATTTAGAAAATTACTTTGCTTTCAGTCCATGCAAGATGCACCAAACTTGTAAAACTTCACACTGAAAAGGTCGTGCTTTGATTGACCTGAGATTTATTTTTGCAAATGGTCTTAAAGAATTAAGTAATTATTAAACTCTTATAACAGTGAGCACCATTAAATGCTGTAATAGATGCTGTATTTTTTATTTATTTTAAACAAATTACATCTTATTGCAAGAAATAACTCTTATCTTTTTTACAAAAATGATGTAATGCATCAGCCTGTCCTGTTAAGAAATACTAAGGGAACATTTTTTTCCCCAACACACAGTTAGAAAATCTAATGTTGGATAAAGATGGACACATAAAAATTACAGATTTTGGACTTTGCAAAGAAGGAATCACAGATGCAGCAACTATGAAAACATTCTGTGGTACTCCAGAATACCTGGCACCTGAGGTATGATTTAGAATATATTCTTGTAATACAATGTAAAATGTTTATTTTTAATTTAATTTTAGAATGTGATGTTTGTATGCGGAAAACTGTTCATTGTAGTAAAGAACTGGCAATCTGTCTGATAAATACTGTGCAGTTGTTATTCACAATTGTATGTGCTACTGTTCTTTGTGGTGATTATGTGTATATTGATGCTGTGCTTCTTAGTGTTTGAAAAGGCCTCTAACGTGCATTTTCCTTCTCATGTTTGCCTTCCTTTGTTAAAGTTTTTATCTTCCAATGATTTCTTCAAAAATAATCTTCCATCTGTCTTTCACTTGGAACATATGATCCTGCTCAGCTGAGCTGTGCGACGGGCGTTTATATAGCCTCAGTGGAGGCGAGGGGGAATAGGAAGGGACTCAGTTTGCTGGGATTTATCCGAACTCCCCAGCTGCAGGGAGAGGGTGTTGAAATTTAGGTATTTCTGCTAAAAACAGTTGAGTGTATCAACCCCAGAGCTGCTTAGGTAGGCATCAAAACTTAGCTGTTTCCTAGTATGTAAGCAGAAGTGGCATGCTAGAATATGTGACCTCATCTTGGAGGATTGGACGAGATGACCTTTAAAGGTTCTTTCCAACACCAAACATTCTGTAATTCTGTGATCCTTACTATTAGGTAGCACTCAGAGTGCCAAATGTCACTCTTCTCAAGGACTAATAAAAAGATGGATAAGAGGACATTGTTTTGGTTCCCTTTGCAGTTTTGGTTTGGCCACTTGTGAGTCTGTTGTGGAAGCTCAAGTCACCCAAATGATCTGCTCCAGTATTAGTGCTGACAGCTCTGCCACTGATGCCTACAGGAAAAAAAAAAAAAAGGCAAAGGAAGCATACTCAAAATTATGTTTTTATCCTGCCTGGCTCCAGTCAACAGTACTGATTGTGGTGCTTGGAAATGTCATTCTGCCTCTCCCCTGGGGTTGCCAAATGCAATTCCAGTATTGACATGAAAGACAGCATTATTTTTTTACTTAATGCCAAGGATTCTGTGGATGTTTAATTAGCCCTTATTTCCATTCTTGTCAGCATTGAAGATTGCTAATTGACATAGTCCGCACCTGATACTGACACAACTCTCTAGTTAACCCAAAGGGCTTTCCAAGACCCTTCAGTCCTGCCGTTTGTTTTAAGGATTGTTCAAGGGATTCTCTGGCTCTTGCAGCAGCTCAGCACCACCAAAAAGTCTTTGTGGTGTATTGTCTTTGAAGCAGAGTATATGCCTTAGTTTGAAGGGAGAAGGTGAGGAGGCATTGATTCAGCATGGCTATTTACCCTCTTATTTTCAGAAGTATTGAACTCTGAGTAGCAGCAACAAGCCCTGGAACCTATTTCAACAAGCAAGTTTAGATTGCCTTTCATTTTTTATTCCAAACCTTACAATTAAAGGATGTCAATGAAACTGGTACACATCACCTCTTGGATACTGCTGTCTGGAAATGAAGATTTTAGGATGGTCAGCTTTGCAGGTTTGAGAGTCTTTCTAAATTTCTTGAAGAAAATTTGAAGTCTCATCCAATTTGCACTCAGGGAGGAATTTGAAACTGCTAATAGTTAGCTATAAATTAATGTGGTATGCAGAGTTAATTAAATTATTTTGGTCCATAGCAAGATCTCTTGATACATTATTTTTTTCCCAACTATAAAGGAAACATCAGTATTCTTAGGAGCCACTAACTTTCTCTTCATCCATCTGGTTCCATCTCCCTTGATTCTTTCACCAGTGGAGACCAACCTGAGCAGTCATGCTCTCGCACTGCAGGTTTGATGTATCTAAATAATTTTGGATGGTTAAGTGTGTTCATTTCAGCGTTTTGGTGAGTCACCAGCCTCTCTAGCAACGAAGATAAATTGATACCTGGTCTCCTTAGCAGAATCCTATTCCACAGATTCTAAGGAAGACTTGGATGCAGATTGTTGCTATCCTGTTTGGCAGTTTCTGACATCTACTTTGTGTTTAGTGCAGGTACACTTAGCAGTTATCTACATGCAAGGATTCCAGAACTATTCTTAGTCTGCTTTGAATATTATTATTTTTTTTTTTTTTTTTTAATGAGAAGTTGCAGGTCTGACTGGTTGGCTTGACGGAGTGCCCACTTGTGCTCTACACCCAGAATCTCTTTCAGCAGCAAGAACAACACAAAGGATGATACTGTCATCACTGGTGTAAACTACAGGTGCCATTGCCAGCTCTTACCCCCTCACTGTCTCCTTGTCAGCAGAATTGAAAACATTCTCAAAGAGTGTAAATATCCCATTCAGTTGCTTTCATCTGCCTCTGCATCTCTCACTTTTGGAAACATTTTCTCTCTCTTCCATTGAACTTGGTAAGGGATCCTTCTGGGTCTGAGACATTCACCAGAAGTTACTTGATCCACTTTCTGTTCTCTAGCAGTCCCACTCCTTTCCTCCACCTCCTATTATGAGTATATTTGGAGACCCACCCTGTACAAATCTGTCTTGAAGGAAATTGACTCTTCATTAAACCTGGGTTAATTAACAAAACTCATTCCCTTTTACCTCAGATAAAGGGTATAGAGCCAACAGCCTAGATAGGTTATTGATATGTCATAAGAAGACTCAACACCTTTATCCACACATTCTTATTTAAAAGTGTGAAATTAGCAGTATATGGACACCATTGCAAAAAAAATCATTTCCCCTTTGTGCTGCTACAGTGGTGTTTCCTAGTGTATTGGCTGGATAGTTGCTCACCTGAGACAACTGTATCTACTTTACTACCTGGGACAACTACCTGATAAAGGGACCATCAAGAGACTGGAGCCTCCAGTGTATTCATCTGCATGTCTTAGAAAATGAATGCACAAGAATGACTTTTCATTGTGGTTTAGGCCACAGAACCACATTACCAGTTGCCAAAGACTTTACTACCTTTTGATGTAATGCAGATCATAGGAACCTAACGTTACAGCTGAGCTTGTTACCCGTTACCATGGTAATCCCTGCTTTTTTTTTATCCCAAGACAAATGGCAGCATATACCTATGCTTTGCCTGGTCCTGGTAAGCATAAAGGCAGGTACTTTCTAGCCTTTCTTTAGAAGAAAGATATTCTCCAGTTACATGGAGAAATCCTTTCAGTTTATGTCCTTTTAATAGTACCCTTTCATCCTCCTCGTTCATCTAGGTCAGTTTTGATGGGTGAATTCTTTCTGCAGGCCTTTTGGTTCAGTTTCCCATTTACTTATTGGCTGGTGGGAAAGAACACTAGGCCAGTGTCCTGTGTAACATGCAGTGGTGGCCTGAGGTTGTTGTCTACCAGCCAGAAGGCAAGTGACCCAGGAACCTTGCAATGGCAGGAATCTACACCTAGCCTGAGAAAAAACTTCAGATTTTCTTTTGTATTAATTCAGTGCTGTGGGTTCTGTTCCAAATAAGAAATTCTGCTTGGTTTTCCAAATGCTTTTTGGACTGCTGTTTGAGGCAGAGTCCTGCTTCCTAGTCCATCTTTTTGCAAAAGCTAGATTGCAGTCTCTTCCAGCAGGAAGACAGGGAGGTAGCTAAACCAGGCTGAGGTGCATTTCTTCCTTGCATGACAGTTCTCTTGGGTGAAGGTGTCCTTGTGGATCTATACAGAACTATTTACCAAGGTGATTTCAGAATTACTCTTAATCAGAAAATAAGCATACCTGTTGCTACATTTCCCCCCAAACCTTGTGTTTCTGAGATCAAAGTACTCCTTCCCACCCTCTGTTGAAAAGGCTCTCTCATCTTATGTTGATAGGGCTTGACTTTTCATATAGACCTGAGAATGACTGTGCTGATATCTGGCAGATCCAGAAAATTGCCCCAGTCCATGCGATGTTTGAGTGGATGGCGGGCCACAGGAAAAAAAATGCAATGAGATTGCCAGGTTGGAGCCAGTTTTCATCTTTGGAGCTAGAACTCTTCTTCTGGACCATTACTGATTTTTGTTTGTGGAAATTTATATGTACCTTCACCAAGCACTGTGCTGTTACAAGGGTGTGCAGGGTTTTAAGCTAAGTGGTCCACGGGTATGTTCCCATCCTGTTGTCCTCTTGTAGTCCTGCCCTGTTATCCAGTGTCAGGATGCAATTTAAAGAAAACTAAAATAGCATTGTCTCTATTTGTCTTAGATAGTTTTGTGTCAAGCATAAAAGATGGTAGGGTATGAATATGTCCTCTAGGAAGAAAATGCTCGCCATTATCAAATAACAGGGCTTATGTACATTTACAGTACAGATGTAAATTTTGGTCACAATTATTGAAGGATATTTAAATTTGTATTTGTGAAATTATGTAATCTTTTGAGAATAATTCGGTTATCTGATAAATAGTGAAATTCCTTTATCATCTGCAGTAGAAGTAATGTAAGGATTGGGGTTTTTTTTGTTTTGTTGGTTTTTTTTTTTGTTTGTTTTTGTTTTTTTTTTCCGTTTCCTTGTTTTGAGGAGTGTAGTGCTAATACCTAATGTTTCCCTCTGGTCTAAAAATCTGCACAATATAAAATATTCTACAATTTCTCTTTCCTTAGTAGTTTTATAGGATGAAAAGACTGTTTCTTAGGAGTCTGTTTCCATTGTTATCCTTCAAAGTAAGCTGTCACATTAGAGATCATTGTGGTTTCAGAGAATAAACACAGATCCAATGAGGAAAAGATGAATTGTGACTCCATTTAGGAAACACAGATGTATTCTTGAATATTTTCAGAAAAAGAAAAAAAATTCTGCAGTTTTGCAGTGGCAAGGGCAAGACAGGACCATATGTGTTTTCCAGATAGTATCACTCACTTAATAAAGAAAGAGTAAAACTGAGAAAGTACTTGTAAATGTACCTATGAGACTTCTAAAAGCAGTTTGGATTTTGATAGTTTTCAGTTGATTGTCAAGGATCAAAGACCTGCTAATAAAGACACAGACCTCTACAGACTTTCATTCTTAGAAAAGTCAGGAAATGAAGCTGCTTGGGCAGACAAATAAAAAACT